TACAACCACACAGAGTATTAAATGTGCTGACCTTAAATGTCAAAGAAAACATAAACTAGTTACGACTTACAAAGGTAGGTGTTTGTTCTCAACGCTCATAATTTATTAAATAACATACTAATGTTTTCTCTATTTTCCAAGTTTTCTCGAAATGATACGTGCAATACGGTTAACGAACGGCGTGACACATATTAGTCATGAGAATAATAATGTACTTCTAAAATCGGGTTAACAATACATGTTATGATATCATTTTCCCCGCAAATCTTGGAATGTGATTGGCTAACAATTATATTTTCATAAAAAGTAATAAAACCGAATACAATAAATAGCAGACACTAGTAAACAAACGCTTTTTTTGACTATCAGATTCACGATGAATACAACTAATATTAACCTTGACAGTGATCCCAGTGCGATGTCGTTGGACGAACTCTTGCCTCAAGGGTCTTACCAAGACCCAAATAGCATAGTTTCTCAGGGATATTATACGAATCTTCTTTCTTTGTCGATCAACGATGACGAAGCTAATCAGACCGAGTCGAATGCTATGTTGCAAGACCCAAATGACGTAGACTCTCAGGGATATCTTTCTTTGTCGATCAACGATAACGAGACTAATCGGACCGCGTCGAATGCTACGTTGCAAAACCCAAATGACATAGTCTCTCTTCTTTCTTTGTCGATCAACGGTAACAAGGCTAATCAGACTGAATCGTTGCCAACAAATGCTACGTTGGAGTATTGCCAAGATGTGTCTAGGTTCGTTGTGAAATGTGATGGTAAACAATTTATCTCACTTATACGTGCGAAAGAAGCGACGGACAGCAATGGATACATGCGCTTTAGAGGGGAATTCACCAGAGCTCTAAAACGGGAGGGGAACGCTTTGTATAAAAATCAGCTCGCAATTTCTAAGTTGACCAGTCTAGCGTGGAATACCGCTCCTGTCTGCATTAAAGATACACTCGCAAACGGTAAAACCACGCAGAGTATTAAGTGCAAGTGTCAAAGAAAACACAAAACCTTGTTACGACTTATAGAGGTATGTGTTTGGTTTCAATGCTCATAATTTCTTAAATAACATACTAATATTTTCTCTATTTTTTGGTTTCCTCGGAATGATAGCAATAACGGCCGATGTATATTTTTAACTCATTAGAGAGAACTTGCTGCGGGCGTTGATAATGTACTACAGATAACTTCTAAAATTGGTTTAACAAATACACGTTATTATTATTATATTCTATTAGTATAAAGATAAAGACGACCAGCAACAGTCTTAATATAACCTCACTACTTACGATCGGTTGTTTTGGGTTTTGTTGGTTAGAATGCGTTTTATCGTTGTCTCACCGGTAACTGTTACAGACTACTAGTTTTACTCAGACATTACTTGAATGACTTATTGGTTTCGTGAGCAAGCGTATATTAACATGAAGTGTGGAAGCAGGTAAATAAAATGATTAATGGAATAGCAGATTTTCATATTCGCACTTCTACTAGTACAATACACTCAAGTTGATTATACAAGTAACCTTTACAAGAAATATGGTGGGCAGGCTAGTGAGGTAGGGCCCGAACACTGATAAAGATAAATGAATTTCGTACAAGTGGTTACTGAGATTGAACGCCTTGCCGATGGTGGCCATGCTATAAGAAAGATTTTTGCTGGACCTGATTTAACGTCTTAAACTAATGACTCTCGTTATAAGAGATTTTCGATATGAGAATGAAATTTGTTGGGCCGACCGCTTTCTTATATCGAGAGCCACTTGTATATTATTCTGCTCATATCTATAGATCGGTGATAATTTGATCAGCGAACATTCTCGATACGAATAATTATTTCTATCTTCAAGCATATATTGCCCGCGTAATAAAAAAACCTAATAGATTAACTCTCAAACAATTAACAATGAAACTTGTTATCTGAACAAATATTTGACATTGTGAAAAAGCAATGCTATATTATAAAAATATTACATCAGCGGATTCGATATTAGTAATTACTATACACACTACCTGGACAAAAGTATCGGACACCCTAACTTTATTAATTGCTCTAAAGTGTACATAATAATAATAACTGAAGCTAAGCTTTTTATATGTTATAGTCTAACTTCTTGTGAAACGCGGATATAATTTTTACGCGTTGTTTATATTTATTTCCTTTGCAAACAATATAATAACGGGATTAGTGTTTTAATCTTTAACTTGAAAATGTCTGGCCAAATTCGGACTTTTTAAACGTGGTGCTACAAAAATGAGTATATCTAAAACTTTTGGCTTCCCTAGAGCAACAGTAATACGAAAAATTCAAAAAGGTCTCGCAATCCAACCACGCAGTGCCGCCCGAAACTTTAAATTTTGAGCAAAACAAATATTAAAACGGGTTGTTAAGCAAAATAATCGGCTGAACAAATACAAAAATCTGTTACCAATTTACACGAACTTAAATTTTTTCTCGCATGCCGACACCCAAACCTTTACTTACTGATCGGCAAAGAGAAAATCGCCTAAATTGGTGTATTGAAAGAAAATTGGCCAAGCCAATCACCGGATTTGAACGTTTATGGTTAGAATTGAGAAGACGCGTTCAATTATGGCTAAAAATATAAGGGAACCTGAGGCGGTATTACAGGAAGAATGGAGCCAAATTACTAATGATATTTTGGTGAATTTAATTAAAGTATGCCTCGAAGAGTTGAAACATGTATTGCAAGTAAGGGCTGGTCAACAAAGTGTTAGTATTAGTCTTACACATAGATTGATAAGAAGTTAGACTATAACATATAAAAGATTTAGCTTCAGTTATTATGTACAGTTTAGAGCAATTAATAAAGTTAGGGTGTCTATACTAATACTTATTGGTGTAGTTAAACCATGAAATAAAGTAATAGTAAGTGTACTGGTGGGAAATTGATTTGCATTTAAAGTTGTGTACATTAGGTTATAATATATAAACGATTCAGTAAATTCTGGATGCTTTCCAACGCTATTTCTGATTTATCTTCTTCAGATTTAATTGTAGTTTTTTGAACTGCACCCGTAAACTTGTTATCACAATTATATTCGACAGTATTCAACTGTAGCATTGATTCTATAGTAATTTATTGCTGCAAGAATGGTAATTGACGTTCTTCATTTATAAGAAGTTCTTCGCACGAATCTATGGTATAATTGATGTCTCAAAAGTGACTCTATCGTGACATTATGATATATGCACAATCAACATGAGACAGACTTGGTCATTATTACTATCTAGAGCTTTACATCTTACATAGATTGACCGACTTATCAAGGGATGGTAGAAAAATATATACAGTACACGGGGTCGTACTACTAGCATGATGATTGAGTTTGATATATTCTTAGAACTGCAACCGCTACTGCTCAAGAATAAAAACATATCAGACACTCCTGATACTCCGTCGCAGGATGCAGATACGTAACACTCTAAACAACTAAACTGATCCCTTGCTAAGCAAAAAGTTAGAACATCCTTGTTATTCTGTACTAAACCATGACCAGTGATTTCCGGGTCTCTCATACGTTGGCTACAGCTTTGGCGCCCCGATGGAAATATGTCAAGTAGAGGCATAACGATAAGTTATCTAAATAGAGCAATATCGTATTTGCCTCTGTGTAATAAAATTCATATAAATAACGCTCTTAATGTTATATGTATGGTCTGCTGATATGTTGTGGATGTTTGTACAATAAAAATTTGGTTGTTTACTGGGTATTTTTGAACGTGAATACGAAAAGATTTCTCATACTGCTCTCGTACATTTTTCAGTATAGCGATGCGAATTAACGCCCCCTTATTCTTCCCTGTCGAATCGTTTCCACATCTCTCATCGATTTCCTAATTTGATCTGGGTATATTACCCGCGGAAGATTAGGAAAACATTCCCTAATGCATACGCAATTTATATGCATTGATAAAGCCATTGAGGAAAGAAGCGGATGCCAAAAATATTGCAAGCATTGTCAGTTGTTGGGTATTCTGTTTATAACTTGAAACTCCTCGCAAAGTGTGATTGGTTCAATTAATGGATATGCCCATGCAAAGTTTCTTTCGCAATAACGTATTACTCTATTCTGTTAAAGTTTTATATCCAAGTAATTAAAGGCCGATTGGATTGTTGGTCTCTGAAGATGAGGAAGCTGCAAGAAATAATAAAACTTCTGTGGATTCATCTACCGTATAACCGAAGACATGATAAAGTTGAGAACAATGCATTCAAATGTGTGGCATATGTATACACAATGCATCGCATATTTTAATTTTTATGAACGAGAAATATTAACAATAGAACGTCGCAAATCAATCGTTTGGATCTTGTCACGGACATCAGAAATATTCGAAACGGGAGTGTCTGTACGAACACAATGGCACATTGAATGCACTGTATAATGCCTTGTGCATTCAACGGCTTTGGTCGAAGTACCACCACAAAAACTGATAAAACAAACATTCTTGACATCAGAGATTCACACAAACGCTTTCTTGCCGTCAGGGATTCACGACTAGTAAACGTTTTCTTGACTATCGGAGATTCACGACTAGTAAACAAACGCTTTTTTTGACTACAGATTCACGATGAACCCAACTGATATTAGTGATCCCAGTATGGACGAACTCTTGCTTCAAGGGTTTTACCAATACCCAAATAGCATAGGATATTATACGTATCTTCTTTCTTTGCCGATCAACGATAACGAGGCCGAGTCGAATGCTATGTTACAAGACCCAGATGACGTAGTCTCTCAGGTAATCGACGGCCAAATTCGGTTATAAACCATTGTATACATTCTCTGCCCAATATCACCTTTTGTGTTCTGTGACACACAAGGTATCCTTTTATCAATGCTTTGCAATAAATGATCTTTTTATTCTTTTTATATGAAGGACGTCAATGACTTTTCCCGACAAGAAGAAATGAGCGCTTCCAATAGAGCTGATGAGCTGTTTGATGGCTTTTCTGGCCCAAACCTCCCAAACCTCTATTTTCCAGATTCGTATGTTTGTCAAGCTGAGCCATTGCCAAATTCAGATCCAAAGGCTGAGCTAAACCATGATAATAATTCAGGAATGACCACTCTGTACCTAGAAAACGAACACCTTACCTCGTTTCGATTGAGCGAGTTTAATCTCAATGGCACCAGTAATGGATTTGTCTATTTTAGACGTCTCTTCAATGAAGCTCTAATACGAGACGGAAATGACATGCACAGCGATCAGGTTCGGGTTTCTAAAGTCGCTGGTGCAGCCTGGCAATCTACAACCGCCGCCATAAAGCAAATATATAACGATTTCAATAGAAATTTGAGGTCGTCTTCGAGCGCGGTGGACCCATCGCGCAATGTAACTTGTCCCCACTGTCATAACCCCTTTGTAATTGTTCTGTCCGACCTGCCTAAGCCGAAGCAACGGAAGCCACAACGAAAGCAGCGACGACGGCCACGGGGGCAAAACACCTGAGTAATGTGCACTAATTAGGGTTCAAGTCGAAGAGACTGCAACTTGAGGAGGCATGTATTTGGATCCTAAGCTTATAAATATGTTAAAGTTTCTTCTGACAATAAAAAAACTAAAGTTTTTTATCTCATCTCTAGTTTGCCCCCGCCCCCCAACTACCGTAGAACGAACGCAAACTTTAAAGTCTAATAATAACTCTTACAGATTCGCGTTTTTGGTTCAGTTGTATATTCTTTCACTTACGGGGCCTGTTTTCTGTAGACAATGTACTTCTTTTGGAAAAATGTATTGTAGCAAAGCTTGTATAACACTTTGTTTGGGTTCATTAAGTGTAGATATATCAAAAGTAGTTTTAGGATGTAGGAAACTTGACTTCTCGTTTAGAAATACGTGTATCGTGTGAATCTGGAATAAATTCAAATTTTCATATGATCAGCCAACCCTGTTTACAAAATTAACGTTTTCATCGTTCCTCGAATTCTCTTGAGCTTTATAGCAGTGCTATCGCCAGCTCTTCACTATTACTACTACCAGTGGTTGTTCTTACATTATAACAACTTTTTCGATACAACGATAGCGATAAATTTCATGTGCATTCATTTGGGAAAAGAATATCGTGCAGCAAAATCATTAGCAAAAGCAGACAATAATTTATTTTATTCTAAAAACACCGAAAAGTATTTCACTATATCAAAAGTCAGTTCTATATTTTTTAACTTCGGCTACAATTGTCTGTACACCAACAGGCTGTTGTTTGAATTTAAGACCATCATCCAGCATCCTTTTTTCCAACAGGTCATGAAATTTGGTATAATAAATTATCAATTGACCCAAGACAGAATGGAGTATCATTGTTCCGTTCTTGAAATTAGCAAAATGTTGAATTACTGATGCATTGATGGATGTAATTGATTGGCGCCAAGTCGTAGCAAAATTTGTTGATACTTCCTCGAAGCGCTCTACAGTTGTGACGATTTTGTGATAGTCAGCACAAAATCTATTTTATTATTTCTCACGCGACAAGAAAAAGCATACGCGTCTGACCTGATGGTAAAGAATTGATATCCTCTGTTTGCTCGACCTGCTTAACAAATGAAATCAAAATGCCAAAGTGTGGTTCCAGCTCTTCCTCAACAAACCCAGAAATTTTAGAGTTCAATAACTGTTGAAAATGGCTGATTTCCGCCTCCACCGATTTGCCACCAGTCTCCTAGATAAATACGCGTTAATCAGCATCGTGTCGTACGCAAAAGAATCTCGACTCGAGCCCCAAGCACTTACGTTGAGGATGGTTACAACCAGATCATAATTGTTTATTAAAAATATGTAACGGCTCTTGTGATCAGAAAACTCGGTTGACATCTTATTGAGTAGTAATTCAACCTCCGTGCGTACCCGAAGCAGACTGTAAGTGAAATAAAAGTAAGACAAAGTGTGTAAGCAGTTAATCCACTAGAATGTAACCGATACTGTCTTACGATATACCTATTTGTCAGTATAGGATCGTTGGCATCCTCGTTAAGCCTTAATATTGATGCTGCAAACTCGGCATAACGACGAGTCACCTAGAAAAACAACAAGAATGTACGGATTCCAGTTATGAGCTTGCATATCATAAAATCATGCGCGCACCGAAATGTTGACTTACATAATGCGGATGGATATCTTTAACAACAAGTTTATTGCCTGCTTTCTTAACGCTTTCGACATGCATATCTATGATAGACTGAAACCGCGGCCACAGCAACATATTCGTCTGATTAATGTAACCCTCCAGGGCAGGCACTCTTCTTCTTTGCAATTCAAGTGCAAACTGCATGTTCAACCGGATGCACAGTAATATGCCAACGGCATCATAACTGCTCTCAATATAGTGTTTTGTTGCAGCAAGACCCATTTTTATCGTAGGATCAAATATCTCTGCAAATACTTCGCGTGCAACATCTATTGCTGGCTTGTCGTCCTTTGCAAAGAATTCGACGATAAACAGATACTCGGAACTGGCATTATCGATAAATATCAAATTGAAGCTTCTGAAAAGAGCTTCATATGAATATTTCTAAAAGATGATTAATGATGGTTCATTAACGGTGTTTTGACTAGTAGCAGATCAACAAGAGACGCATCTGAATACCTGGCTTGAGGTTTCGGCAACATGCACAAGTATAACTCCTGCGTCAGTGTTTCGAAGAGTGTTTATTCGATCGCCCAAGGAAAAAGTGTTCCCTTTGTCTTTCAGGGCAATCTTGCTGGTTCCAAATAATCCACCTAAAAATTCGATAAAAGTTTATGCCTGTACACATAATATAACTTTAGAATAACATAGCCATACAACTTTTCATCACACCAACCCTTTTTTACGCTCTCGTCGCTACCGATTAAATCGCCTTTGTCTGTAATAGAGTTCTTTTTCAATACAACAACCAGTCAGTTTAATAGTAAACACAAAAAAGTGGTCAACTTTTATCTTCTCTGATAATTACTTGTAGTCTCTGCAATCCTTTATTGTATCTCTCAAAATGATTGGAGAAATACCATCTCATGGTATTCACATAAGTCTGTCTTATTTCAAGAGCTACTTCACCGTATCTTTCCATAATAAACTGGTGAAGTTGTTTATATTTAAGAAGAACCGATTGTTGAAGAATTTGGATGTTGGTATTCGGTATACGGAGGGATTTTATCTTCATAAGAAGGAATTCTCGTATTTTCTCTGACGCCTATATAGAACAAGTAAATTCGGATGCGTATTGTAGCACGTCGAGAATACAGAAAATGAAGCAATTGGCGTCATACCTTTAGCCTCAATTTCTCAAGTTCAGGTTCAACATCTTTTAGTGCTGTGATATTCTCCCCCTGATGAGTTTCTACGTAAGTCATCTTCTTGTTCATTTCTATTAAATAAGCGAGCCACGTTTCATCTATATTCCCTTCAGTAATTTTTCTTTAAATGTACACATTCATCAGTGGAAGCAATAAATAATATATAATGGTACATTTGCAAGAAATCAAATACATACTTTATCATAGACGGGGATATAACGATTCCATCCAGAACAGTATTCAGTCGTTCCTCTATAGCCTGAATTTAGAACATAGGATTAATATAACATTTTCAACTTGAGTCCAACTTCAGTTAGAAACGCTTGTTACATTAGCCATTTATATTCTCGTAGAACCAGAGACAAACACGTACCATTCTATTTTTTAACTTGATGTTCATAATCATTGATTTGTCTTGGAGTGTTTGAATCTCTGAACTAATGTTTCCCAAATCTGCCTGAAATACAGTCAACATGTCTTCCATAGTAGCTAAGATTTTATCACATGACTAAAAGCAGTATGAATTAATTAATATTTTCATCTGACAGACAGCCTTACAAATCTTTCTCAGCAGATACCTGAATCTGGTTGTGCATTTCTACAAAATTCCTTGTTTGGTTGATATCTTAGACCCATGTTTACACCAGTCAAGAATTTGTGCGGATTACTTTTCCAACGAACAACAAAAACAGGTAAATATGTAAAGGATACAATCTATTTCATGCTCTTTGTCTATAGCACTTAATTCATTTTCAACGTTCCATGCATACTCTTGTAAGTCTACTCCCTATTAAAATTGAAGAAAGAGACGGTCAGTATTTGTCTATTAAGTAAATACACAAGGCGACAAGAAACTTTAAACAGACCTTTGCGATTTCTTTCGTAACAAGCTCATCTTCCTGAATTTCTGTATCAATATTGAAAGAACATTTATTTCGCACTTTCATTGAGGGAAAACGGACTTGAATTATCGCATTACCGTTGACTTTGTCAGAATCAATCTCTCCAGGTGCGCTGTCGAGTTCAAGTTTACGCAAGATTGAAGAAGGCTACCACACGCATTTGAGGAGTAAGTATGTCAAGTTAGAAACCATCTTGAAGCCAGCAAAGTATATTTTATCTAGCTATACGTTTTCAGAGAACTCAAAATATTTGTTTGCCTTACATCGCCAAATAGCTTTTCAAACACTTTCTCGAATGCAACGGACGGCGATTCAGGCTTATTTCTTGCCTCTTCAGAAAATTTACCTTTAGACGGAACAAAAAACCGATCAGGACGTTCTTTCGACATTAATTCTGGTGATTTGAAGAACCCAGGCCAGGCAAAGTGAGCATAACCACGAAATTTTTAAATTGTTTGGCAATGACAATAATAGTAATTCATTAACGGTTTTTGTGTACGACGACACAAAAATCATGTACACTCGTTATACTTTTGGATGGAGAAACTGCAACAGGAAAATCTTCGTGCTGAGGTGTGGTTGGGTCAAGCGTTCATAAACATATCCGCTCAAACTAAATTCGGTCTTTTGAATAACAGCGGATTTAGATAGACTTGGAAATTCTTGAGGATTGTAAAAATACATTTGATTGTCGTTACTTTTTGAAAGAACAAGCATACTTTTATAACCCACAGTTATAAAATAGACCTTTATTGAGAATGAAACATAACTCCTCTAATACTGTTATTGCATACACCCTTTGCGATTTTATAAAAATAAAAAAGTTGTCATGTGCAATGTGGCACAATAAGTGTTGAGAATTCCTCCAAACTATTGCGAAATTCAAACTATGAACAAATTGCTTGAAAAAGCCAAAGCAAAATTGAAAGACCCAGAGTCAGGGGTTGTTAATAATCCAGGAATTGAAAACTTGGTTCAAGCCTCCTTATCAAATGATTATGGTGAAAGACTTGAATGGATTTCTTGCTCGGAAATAAAGTCAAGTCAAATTGACAACGTCTACTACGCTAGAACACAGTATGATGATGAAACGTCGCTAATGTTACTATCACTTGGAAGTAGCGAAGAATGTACACCAACACTTGTGAGTGAATTTGCAAGGATATACTCACTTCCAACACACCAGTACAACAAAGATGACAATAACTTTAGAAGACATTCCCGATGGCTTACGGAGCGCAACAAACTAATAAATGGGTTTACCAAGTATGACGATAAATATTATATGGTTGCTGATAGAAAGTTTTACCACTGTTACTTTCGATATGGCTTCTGCACTGCATGTGGAATACTTCGATGTAGTCCAGTGTGGTGTGTGTGTGGACATAAACAATTATCCAATGGATGGACTAGCAA